AAAAATTAGAATATACAAAACTATAATTTTGCCTGTGGTTCTGTATGGGTGTGAAACTTGGTCTCTGACACTAAGGGAGGAACATAGACTGAGGGTGTTTGAGAACAGGGTGTTGAGGAGAATATTTGGACCAAAGAGAGATGAAATCACAGGAGGTTGGAATGAACTGCATAATGAGGAGCTTGTACTCTTCTCCAAGTATAATTAGAATGATCAAGTCAATGAGGATGAGGTGGGCAGGTCATGTAGCACGAATGGGGGAGACAAGGAATGCGTATAGGATATTGGTGGGAAAGCCAGAAGGAAAGAGACCACAGGGACGACCAAGGCATAGGTGGGTGAACAATATTAGAATGGATCTTAGAGAGAGAGGATGGGATGGTATGGATTGGATAAATCTGGCTCAGGATAGGGACTAGTGGAGGGCTCTTGTGAACACGGTGATGAACCTTCAGGTTCCATAAAATGCTGGGAAATTCTTGAGTAGCTGCAGAATTGGCAGCTCCTCAAGAAGGGCTCAGCTCCATGAATAAGTAAGTCAGCTGTAACAGTTTCCTTCCAAGATCTAATTACTCCTGTTTCTGACTGGGTGGCTTCTCTGGAAGCATACAGCTATTGAAGTTTTATGGAGAGTGGAACTTGATATTGCTAACACATCTACCTTGTGTGATTGCAGTCCTTGGAAAATATGTGCTTGAGAATAGTAATTCCATTATGGTTCAGGTACAGGTATTCTGCAGGTGTTAATTGCATTGTTAGAGACATTTTGTACCTGCACAACTGATGTGTCAATCAAAGTGTGGGATGTGAATGAGGCTGTTTGCTGTGCAATGCTCAGTTATGATTGAGCATGTGCACTCCAAAAGACATGTCATGGACAGATACAGGAGCTGCCACAACCAGTGCTCACAAAGCACTTGTAATAAGAAACATCTGCTTTAACCCCTGACTCCATATAACAACAAACACAAAACGCAGGTCGCTAAGTCATCAGTATCAACGTACATATGAACAAGACTGCTGGGCCAGAGGGGAGGGGGAAGCATAACAACTCAAGGGAGATACTGAGGAAATACCGACTTTTACCATAAAATGCACATCTTATTTTCACATATGAAATGTGTTTGCTGCTAGTGAGCACTCACATACAGTGCCATCTACAGAATGTGTTGTAATTTTATAGATCATCAAATGTTGAGGTTTTGTAGTGTTAAATGTGTCTGGTTTTTTATTATAGTCAGTGCTCCTTTAACAAACATCCAGCTTTAACACGTGTATTACACAGAATTAAAGCACCATAATTACCCAAGTATTGGCCTTCCTTGAAATTGGCCCCATGCAAAAGCGTGTATGCCCTTGCAGTAAAAGAGCAAAATACAACTGTGGTGGCCAAACTAATCTCACCTAACCCACCCATACCAGAAATGTAACCAAGAACAAGCCCTGGATAAAACTTCTATGAAATGTGACGTGGGTGAAGCCAAATTACATTCTGCATTTTATGATATGGAACAACCGTAAGAATTGTATAAAGATTGTACAGTTCTATATAATGCAACCTAATAAGACGTTTTCATAAAACCTACACTAGCTGTTAAAATATTTTTAAGTTAGACTGACAACATTAGCCACTTCCGGATGTAATGAAGATTGTTTGTTAAGCCGTGACTAACCTATGTGAAAATACACATTGTTTTGAAGATTTTGAACATTTCATAGGCTTCATAGTTTCTTACGTTTCACATCATCATACACTTCGGCAATTGCCTGCTATTCGTTGGCATGAACGGATATAATCGGTGTGATTGGGTGTGATAGACGGCATTTTACGTCATGCACTGTCATGCATTTACTCTACTGCCATCTATGTAGACGCAACTACATAATAGTAATGAGCGCGTATTTAGTTCAAGTAACTGACCGTCGCTTTTGGATGTCGTTGGTGCATATTGGTATCTCCCCTAGATCCCTGCCAAGCTAATTGGAATAATAGAAAAGAAACTATAGAAAACTTGCGTGTTTTAAACCCTCTAACTTATCTGAGCTGTCGAAAAATTAAAGTGTTTAGAATAAAATCGAACCAATTTATTTGTTTTGAGCTCTGCAGGAAGAAAAACCGAGTGATTCTATTTATTATGAACATGGCACATTTAGATTCTTAAGGGTTCTGACGATGGTGGATGACACACAGATTACTGGGGTTTTCGACTTTTTCCATCGTCCGGAATTCTAGGTAATAGAGGACACGACGTTTCGGAAACTGGCTGTGTTTCCGTCTTCAGGTGAGAAAGGAAGACACCTACTTAGTTGGGCCCCTTAGAAAGAGCTAATCTTAATCAAATCAATCCAGTGACTGAGATTAGCTCTTTCTAAGGGGTCCAGCTGAGTAGGTGTCGTGAACTTTGCATTGCAACAGTTGATATTGTTGATATGGACTGTAAAATCATTTGCAGTCGAAGGAGGGGCACATCCGCCCCCCTCCCTGTCGGCCGCTTCGAGCCAAAGCGGAACACATGCGATCGCATGCGATCTCGGCGGCGAGTCGGCAAGCCAGTAACAAAATAGTGGCGGAGAAGAACGGTCGAAACGATGAGGGAAATTGTTCATCTGCAGGCGGGCCAGTGCGGAAATCAGATCGGCTCCAAGGTAATGGATTATGTCTTTTTGTGTGTGTGAGATCCGGTGTGACATGTATCCTGGAAAGGGCACGTGTTACTAGTAACAGAGCCCATTATGAACGCTAACCTAAAATACTGCCTGAGGTGTTCAGATTACGACACAGTCTTGTGGGTGCTGCATGATTTACTTGCCATTATGTGTTTAGGAAAAGGGTGACTTAATACTTAAATAACACGACTTTACTTGTATTCGGGAATACCAGTTTCGGAAGTCGACCTATGTAACATTGTACACAAAGGACCTCGTTACATAACCGTAGAATCTAGTATTCAACAAAGTATCTGTTTTATATTAGCTCATTTTAATTTTGATGTGTTCGGATTATGATCACTGTTGGTGCGCGCAACTGTCGTAGTGGTGTAGTTTTAATCCTATTTTCCTTATTTTGAAAAATATTATAAAAGATGTATGAGGCCATCTTACAGTGTCACTGTATCCCTTTGCTTAATTAATTAAGTACTATCCCATGAAGACGTACGTAGGAGTGTAGGTATAGCTCCACCATTCTTGACCTCGGCACTAAATGGAGGTGAGTGGTCAGCTTCACAATCCGGCCGCTGTACCCCTGGGGATGAGCACCGGGTACCCATTGGATATGAGGCCGGATGGGCCCTAGAGCCGGTTTTGACGCTGTGGAGAAGAGAAGAATTTTACCGTGCCGGTATTCGAACCCGGGCTGTCCAGCTAACCCGACTCCTGTGTTACATACGAGTAGTGAGGAAGTTAAATTATTTCTGAACTTAAAATGGAAGGTATGTAAATAAGTATGTTGGTGCTTGAAGGATGATGGTGGTAATTGTTGAAGCGATGAAACGACGAAAGCCTCAGAATAACCGGCAGCATACCTCCGAGGTTTGAACCTCCCGATCTTAGATATATATAATTCTATCCATATTTACTCATAACTGAACGTCAAGCACTGTATTATGTTGATGATAATAGAATTGAATGACCACGAATTGCCAGTTACTCAACCACAATATTCGGTTGTTTCCCTTAAAATGCGGCAATTGTTTTAAAAACTAGTAATATGAATATTTGCAAATATAGTGACGTCATTGTATCGCGTAAATATCTTATATTTAAGAATCTTGTTGCATTACTATATTCAACCTTGTTTACATACAATTATCCGTCAATAATGCAGCTATTTATTTCTTCATTCACATCTGCTTTCGCTTTTAACACATGTTTCGGAATCAAACGGCCATCCTCAGGTGTCCTATTGTGCCAGAACTGCTACACTGCACTGAGTATTGTCCTTTCCACAAGCGCGTAACTGAACATTTCGTAATTAAAAGATACGTCTGCACACGGAAGACAACGCCATATGCAGCTTGTGGAACAACGGACAAGCAAAGGGCAGAATTGTAGACAAAACATAACAACGGACTTGCGTATGGAAATGGTGAGCCGCTGTAATGTAAAAAACCGAAGAAGGGTATATTGCCTAGACAAGTGGACAACGCCCCTTATGAGGTGGAATTATGAGTTTTATATAATTAAAAATGTTAACAGTTTTAAATTTATTTTAAATGGAGTGAACTGTAACATGTAAGATTTTAACACGCAACAGTTGAGTTCAATTGTAAAGGCATAATTTCTACACAACGAGAAGACAACACCATACGCTGCTTGTGGGGAGCAAAGGACAAGCAAGGGGCAAAATTGCAGACAAAACATAACAACGGTCTTGCATATGGAAAGGGTGAACCGCTGCAATGTAAACAACCGAAGAAGGGTATATTTCCTGGACAAGCGGACGACACCTCTTATGATGTGGAATAAGGAGTTTTATATAATTTAAAAATGTTAACGATTTTTAAATGATTTTAAATGGAGTAAACTGTAACAAGATTTAAACGTAAATAGTTGAGTTCAATTGTAACATTATAATTACGAAATGTTCAGTTATGCGAGTGTGGAATGGACAATATTTAGTGCAGCGTAGCAGGTTTGGCATAATGGGACACGTGAGGATGGCCGTTTGGGGCCGAAACATGTTGCATTAATAGCGAAAGGAAATGTGAATAAAAAAAATAAATAATCCGATTACTGACGGAAAATTGTATGTAAACAAGGTCGCGTAAATATGATGAAAATGACGAATTGAAGTTTCACGGAAATCGGGAGACAATTGTCAAGATGACAGAATAACTGTATCAAGTGATTTAGCGGCAAGGTGGCCTAATCACCGCTTGTTCCAAAATAGCGTTCTATTAATAAACCACTGGTGCGGTTGCAGAGAAATGGGTTTATTAATTGTCTGTTAAACATGAGTTCTGGTGGGAGAATAAATACGTACATCTCATAGTTTGAAAAGCAACATCTTCGTGATCCTACGAGTTAAGTGGGAAAGGTGATACTAAACAATGGGGAAATTTTCCAAATACGTTTTACTTCATGGTATAGACAACCTCGTCTTTTCACATGAACATCTCATTTTTGCCAAGGTCATCTTCTGTCTCTACTTCATTTGTTTTATACTGTAGAATCTGTTTCGGTATTCTTTCAACAGACATTCTATCCAAATGGTTTAACTGTTTTTCTCAATTTTATGTTGTACTGATTACATTTTCAGTTCTTTCCTAACGCTTCCATTGTTAAAATGGCTTAGTCCAGTGCAGCCTTTAACTGTTATAAAGAATCTTATATCTGCTAATGTGTTTTGTTTATGTCTCCTGCGTTAATTGTTCAAGACACACGTCAGTCGTTCAAAATTAGTATTTTTCATACTTCGTTGACCCTGATATTCATTTGTTGCCCATAAAAATTGACTAATGTAAAGCTAATCACAAAGACATTTTACACAACGTGGTATAAAAGACTTGAAGCTATTCCTGTAACAGGCCATGGAGGCCCATATGGTTGTGAGACATCGAGGCTCCCATATTTTCCAGACTGTCGGCTCACAGATGGCGGTGAGGTTGTTAGCCTTACGCGCCGGCCGGCCACCTTTTACCTCCAGGAAGATCCCTGGTACTCATTTCTGTTAGAGGACGAGGCGACCCCAGGGCCATAGTGCGTCTGGAAGGATTAGGTCAATTGAGAAATTCTATGATATCTGGAATCGAACCCGCGACCTTCCGGCTCGTAAAGTAGTACGTCAACCAACTACGCTACCGCGTGCCAATCCGGTACATGGTATAGATAAGTTTTTTCTTGTATAGTTGCTTAAATATTTACCACATCAACTGTTTCAGGCAGAAGTTGTAGACTATAATGAGACCTGTGTTGTGTCATAAACCAGCTGTCTATACGTTGGGTCGTTTTAGAGAAAACTGAGTGGAGTCTTATTTAAGGTAGAGGTTATATCGACTTTCAGACCTACCGCCTGATAATCGCAACGTTTGTTGGCGAGTCTACCGCTTGTTTTTCCGTATATGTGAAGAATGTCGCTTGTCTGACCTGAAATACGGAATGCGATGCTCGTATTTTCAAGTCGGCCTTCTGTTTACATTGGTATTCTGGCGGAGTGTGTGCAGTGTGAGTCATTTCCGCCAGAGCCTTGCCACATGAACGAAATATCAGGTGCGCACATCTGCCATCTTGTTATGTTAACAGTTGGTTTGCAGATTTTTCTGACATCTTGGACATACAGTGCAAATTAACTTTCAGGGGGGGTTTGCGAAATCGTAAGAATCTAATATTTTGGCGAAATATAATGTGAGATTTATATCAAAGAAGAATATATATTCAGTAAGCCACGAATAAAAATATGGGAGAGTAAAATTGTGAGTAAGGAATATACACCAGTAAGTGAGTAAGGGGTATGGCGAATCAGAACTAACCAAGATCTTAGGGAACTGCATAAATCAAGGAGAAGGTTTGAGTGATTGGTACAGTTGATTAGGGTGGGTCAGACAAGACCTGCAATGATATATTTTTAAGCCAGAATGTGGAAGGAAAATGGGAAGGCCCAGATTGAGCTGACAGGACGATGGGGAGAATGATTTCCGAGAGCCTAAAGTGAGGAGATGGTTGGGGAAATGAAGGGCATCTGTCATTTTGGGAGGGGGTAGCACCGATGAGCAAATGAGTACGGGAAGTACGCAGTATATGAACGTCAACTAGAATAACGGTACCCCTGTACCAACAAACGTGAACAGTGCCTTTATAACACAACAGTCAGATTTCGTCAGAAAAGAAAGGTAAAAATATATTTTAATAAAACCACCTCCGGTCCAGAAAACCGAAATTAACGGCCGTGGGGATTCGTTGCGCTGACCAAACGACACCCTCTATCCGCTAGAGTTGGCACTAACTTCGCAACAAGCGGCGGTCGGTATAGTTCGCTTGTGGACTAAAGCTACGGAGTTTGACTAAAATCACAATTTTGATGCATATGATATCTTGGCTCCCATTTACATATCAGCCAGGCGGATCTCTTTTCGAAGGACGAATCTTTTTCTGAAGAAGAGTAAGAATGAACATTAAGAAGAAAAGGTTAGAGGGAAGAAAGGCACTTTATTTGGGGGGGGGGTTAGGCAGAACATTTTGCCAGAATGTTCCTAGTCTTCGCCCACTTGTCCTTCTGACAGGGAAAGTGTGGCAGCGAAAACGTTAGAGTTTTAGAAATATTGGCTTGAGGCAGGGGTGGATAATTTTTACTTTTCAATTAATAAAGAATCGCACATTTGGAAAAGATAATTTGGTGGCCTTTACAGCAGAGATGTTTAGTTTTTATGCATATAAATCGTCCTTTTGTTCTCAGAAGAACATCGCTGCAAACGGAAGTACGCAACCGAAAACGAACATTTTCGTGCTGATAAACTGACCTTTCAGTTTTTAAAAGGTCATTTTGGGCGAAATGAACGTCGGTTAAATCTGTAGTTGAAACGTGTTGCTTGCGAAATGTGTTTCTCTTGATAGTCGAGTAAAGAGGCTAGCTGTTAGCATCAAGGAGCTTGGATACCATAAGCTTCCACTTTCTACATAAGAACATGGCGACGTATTCTGTCATGTGA